CATTGTGCTCAGTTTCTGCCAACCCTCTTCTGGCTGCCCTGTTCTCTTAATCCCCTCCTCCTGTAAAGCAATCAGACAGAGGAGGGTCCATAGACAGCGAGAGGGAGAGGAAGAAAGAGAGAGCCCTGGCTGCACAGAACAATACACAAACACATTAATACCTTGTTAAAACCAGGGTATTAAAGACCAAGGAAAAGATAACTTGAGTGGGAGCCTAAAGAAAGAGAGTAAGGGTGATAATAGTAATAGTAAAAGTAATATTGATCACTGAGGAACTCCACAGTTACTGCAGGGTGAGAGGACTCGTGCTTGACATATATACAGAAAATGATCTTGGTTTGTGAAATAAGGATATGGGGCTCTATTTTTGTGTCAGCTGGCGACAGTGGCGGACGTCGCGCAGTGGTTTTCGTCTGGCAGAGCTCGGTGTACAGCCAGTTTGGTATTTTCGTGGACTGAGGCGCACCGAGGTCCACTGAGCTGGGCGTGGTGGCGTGGCAGGGGGAGGTGTCGACAGAATCAGCTGGCGCAGTGACATTTTCGAGCTCACCGCCAGCATGTAAAGTGTACTGAAAGCTCGCCGATTCAAACCTGGTCAGCTTTCAGCGCAGGCGGAGCGCAGCTGGTCTAGTGGTATTTAGTAGACTGGCGGCGTATCGGCATACGCCATCGATGCAGGTTTCCACAGTGTCAGGCACATTTCACTGCAATAAATAATCAACAACAACTAATTATCTGAGTCAGCACATACATTTAGATCTATATCAATATATTCTGATCTATATATGATCTGATTTGGCACGCGAATCAACACAGCTGAAACTGCATTAAATTAGACTAAATATCTAGTAAATAAACACACGTGATGAAATGAACAAGATATGTAATTCGTCTCCCTCCTTTTCTTTCTTCCTCTTTCCACTTATTTCTCGCGCAGCTTGACCTGGACATGTCTCCGTGTCCTCTCCCCGTCCTGCTGCAGCTGCTGCTGCGGCGGCTGAACAGATGATTTGTTTCAGTGATCAGATGAGTTATTTACTTTAAGCCGACATACGGATATTATAATATTCAGTTTTGTGAGCCAAATTTATTTTATATGCCAACATCTATGAAAGAAAGAGCCAGGCCACGGAGCATGATGCGTCATTTACGCACAGATGGTTCAGATTTTAATGCCATTTTTGGAGTTTATGTTGTGATCTGTGCGCACAACCCACATTTGTCATGAAGGGTTTAAATATTTGCAACTTAAGGTGATTGTCTTTATTTGTGGAAAAGGGTGTTTGTCTTTCTGGTGGGTCCAACCTTACACACACCAAATTCCTCTGTGCTTATATGTATGAGAGAGTGTGGAGCGCGTCCTCTGCAACGCTTACAGTGACACTTTTTGAGGGGCTGCCTTCTGTCGCCATCGTGTGGCATTGCTGTCTTCAGACATCTCTTGATCCCTTCGACTACTTCACAAAAATAGTAATACGCCTCGCCTGTGGCGGATTTAAAGGCGAGGAGCAGAGCTGATGTTATTGGTTAATACAGGTCTTGGCTGTGTTAAACACATTCCATGCCTTCTCTCGTCCATCACTACGACTTACGCCGCTGGGAGGAGCTGAGTTATGGAGGGGGGATACTTACGCTGGGCTGTGCCGCTCACCAGAATACCAAATTGTGTTTGGGAACGCCTCGTCGGCACGGCTGACTTACGAACGCCACGTCGCTGGCGAGGCAATGAAATAGAGCCCTTCATGTTTACAAGGACAAACACAAAAACAAGATAATAAAAGCTTATCAAAACCAGGAAAACTTACAACACACACACACACGCACGCACACGCGCACACACACACACACACACACACACACACACACACACACACACACACACACACACACACACACACACACACAGGGGAGGACATCAACTTCTGCTCCACTTTGTGTGAATGGATGGAAATCAGTCACAAGTATCTCTGTGGGCCATTGTGTGCTGGGGAGGCTTTGTTCGAGCATCTGTTGCCCAAACATTCTCCTCACTGTCACTCACCCTAAATTGGTCCGTTCAGACGAGTTGCAACAAAACTCAATCCTCTTCCCACACAACACACACACACACACACACACACACACACACACACACACACACACACACACACACACACACACACACACTGGGGGATTACTTGGACACAAGTAAGAGAAAGAGTTAATCTTTGCTTCTTCTGTGTGTCAATGAGACAGATGATCGTAAAGGACAGGGGAGCAGGGACAGACCTCTAGAGTGATGCTTGTGGGAACCTCCAATATGAACATTTATGTCCTACTCAACATGATCGTTATTCTGTCTTTGTATTTAACTACACACTTGGGGCAGTGTAACAACATGAGTTTACTGGAGCTCCACCTATATCTAGTTTAACACAAAGCTTTATTCTTCTTTGAAACCAATGACGAAAGTGATATAAAAGTTTGGTATCAGTGTTCCTAAAAGATTTATATATTGAACTATACTGCTTTTCCTGTAAAGCCAAAGATCTTTGGCCTTTAGTTCAGTTATTGGCAGTGGATGTGGACCAAGTACACTCCTTGTTTACTTCTGTCCCAGTCCAGAAACTGCTCACCAGATATTAATCGTCCAATAACTTATGCTGCAGCTCAACAACAGAGTGTGTGTGGCCTTAGGTGATTCTCAGGTTGAATGGTGGAATTTAGTGACCCATGGTCAGGTTTGTGAGTTAACAAACATTCGGTCATTCTTTCTTTGGTCTCGGGTAAGCGAGTAGAGGTTACAAGACGTCACTACAACCACTCGTTGATCTGTCCGACCTGAGTCATACTTGGTTTTCCAGAGAAGCCTACATTGGGTACAGATACAGCGACACCATTAGGACAAACCATCGAATAGGCACGGGTTATTATAGTGAGCTCAGAGAGTGATTTCATTTGCTAAATTGATTATAAACCTTGCAATTTATCAGTACACTACTGACCGGGACCTCTCGTGTAAAATAAAGGGGGTAAAATTTCAATAAAATGACAATTATTGTGAGTTTCTTTGTCAAAGACTTTTATTTGAAATTACAGTGGACAATATATTAAGATAAAGAGCTAGGATATCAACATAACCCATGGAATGTAAACAATGCACTTAAATTATTTGAAACAAAAACACATCATCAAATGTAACAATATAGGTCTCACTTCTGAAAAAACAAAATAAATAAACTTTTAAGTTAACAAAAGTAACGATAACGTCTCACTGTCCAGTCCAGCTAACAATAAGCTGCAGCAGCGAGCGTCTCTGAACTCCTGCGGCAGTTTCGAGCTGATTCCATGACCAAAAAAACTTGAGTCAAATGTCTTATTTACTTGAAGTCACTTTGATTTCTCCTGCCGATCAGAGAGTTAGCTAGCAAGCTAGTGTGCAACAGAGGTTGGCCTTCAAACACATCATCATAAGGCAACTCTGGTGAGAAATGATCTAAGAACAAAGGTCACCTTTTCACATGTTTGTTTGCATCACAAGACAGAGGTATCACACAGTATTTCAAAGACGGAGGAGTCATTACAGACGCTTCTATCACTGTTACAGAAGCAGTCATGAGTGTAATCTACAGCTGCACACTGAAGCCTCAAATGTGGTAAACCCTTTCTTTTCTTTGTATTGAGAATTTAGCTCCTAACATTTTACGGTTATTACAGTCAGAGTTGTGAAGCTGGGCAGAGAGGACAGTAGATTCACTGTATGCTCACACTGACAGCAAAAGAGCTGCTCGTGCTAAAAGGCTATCAGGATGCAGGTGAAAATGAGTCTCCTGTGTCAGCGTGAAAATTCAGTGAGTCCTGATTTCATTCGGGCCTTTCAGCCAGTAAGGCAACATAAAAAAGGAATGCCATAATGTTTCACTCTCCTCCTTTCTCTCCTCTCTGCCCATCTCCTTAAAGCTTCCTGATAGCATGAAAAGCAGAGGGACAACATGAATGCAAACATAAAGCACAATTCCTCCTGTAATATAAAAAACTATCCAAACACATCCACAATGCAATCAAGAAGTAATAATAATGATAAAAAAATAAAATAATAAAAATTAAAAAAAATAATAAATAAGTCAAGGGAAGTGTTAACTCTAGCAACAATTATCACAACACTTTGTTACATATGTGGTGGCTAAAGGCTAGGCTAGGTGTTAGCAGGACTAGTGGGCTAGGAGAATCTAACATCAACTTTGGTAACTAGAAAGTCAGCGGGTTGCCAACAGTTGTGCTGTTTTTCTGTTTGTTGCAAAGGCAGTAAAGAAGGTTGACTAATACAATCATAAAGCCGCAGCCAAACAACTAATCTGCTAATTAGTCCACAACAGCACACCCTCCTAATTGATGAGGGGTATCACACAGTCATTGAGCCCTGAAGATGACTGGTGTGCTGCAGACTAGCATTACCATAACTATTTCAAAGGAGGAAAATTATATGCATGTACTTTGAAAAAGTTGGTGGACGGCAGCCATAAAAGGGCACACAGCACTAAAGTTCAAATCATCTTAAAATAAGGATACTCGAAACTCTTACACAGAATTTCCCACTGACAAGAGCAGCACAAGGGCCAGCTGCTGCACTGAGTGAGGTATCCTCTAAGTATTTAAAACGGGTATACAACAGTATACAGCAGTAACAGCATAACCTTGGAACAAAATATAAAAGACAGGTAAAAAAAGGAGTCAGCTAAAACTGGACAAACACTGAGCAGCGCTACAGCTGCTTGGATGAGAAATGCAATATGCACAAAGTTAGGTTTGTTTACCGCACCAGATCCAAGGAGGAGCGAAAACCTAATGTTTAACACCTCTGTGACTTTAATCTGAACTGTTTTAAATCCATACATTAAACTAAACTGAACTTTTTAAACCATCAAAGCTGCTCCTTCATTGCATATCAGCTCCTGGTCACTCGGAGTTAAACAGTTAGGCTTTCTATCTCTACTTAAATTCAGCTTTGCAGTAAACTGTCCCTACTCGTCTGACACAGACAGGCGGCTAAAGATGGGCAGACGCCGGCCCTCAAAGCTTGGAGACTCTGTGCCGCTGGAGGAAGAGCTGAGGGAGCAGGAGGAGGTGTAGCCCTCCTCAGAGAGAGAGTCGGCTGAGGAGCAGCGCTGCAAACCAGGGGGTGCACTCAAGACAGGGCGCTGCTGAGGGAGCTGAAAAGAGAGATTTGGGGATTTGGAGGTCATGAAGGAGCTGGCACACCTGGTGTTGATGGTATCAGACACGGCCAAGAAGTGCATGGCCAAGTCACCGCTGTCACCTGAAAGGTCTGTGATACCAGAGAAGGGGTGAGGGCAGTGCTTCAGGGTTCCAGGCTCAGGGAAGAGTGGGGAGAGGAGCTCTGGGCTTCCAGTGGAGGAGGGAGGAGGGGAGACAGAGGAGGCCCGGGTGAAGAGGAGGGAGGAGGGCTGCAGCTCCTCCACAGGTTGGAAGGTCTGTGAGGAGGAGAAGCCTGCAAAGCTGAGGCTGTGGCGCAGCAGAGGAGGCCTCAGCTTCTGTTTCTGAGGGGGATTGGGGGAAGTGTTACCAGCCTGGAGCTCATCTGCGTTGTGGATGAAGTGGCAGCGGGCGCCGTAGGGGCAGAAGCCGATGGTATGGAAAGTGCGGCAAGGCTCAGTCTTGTACTTGGGGTGTCTGCTGAGACCTCTCAGCTCCTCCATGCCGTGAGCAAACTGGCACTTAGCACCATACTTGCAGGTCCCGCTTTCCTCAAAAGTGCGGCAGAGTTCAGTCTTGTAGCGGGTGGAGATGTGAGGTGCAGGGGCTGGTGGTCTGGAGGCAGAGGGAGAAGCAGCAGAAGAAAGGGAGGTGTTGCTGATACAGAGGCCCGGTGGAGGGAGCAGCAGTGGTGGAGACATGTTTGCCACTTTGTCCTCTCTGCCTGTCAGCCCACTGATGTGACCCTCGATCATACTGATAGAGCGATCAACCCTGAAGGGAATGTGGCTGAGTGAGGAGCGGGGAAGCTGGCCCTCTCTGCTCCACTGCTGGGTAGAGGCCACATTGAGCCCCCAGCAGGCTGGGTCGCTCACCTCAGAGCTGCTGCTGCTGCTGTTGAACTTGGAGTTGGGGAGGGTCACGGGGCACAGAGAATGACGTCGCTGGAAGCCGAGGACCCTCAGACTGTGCTGCTGACGTTGCTGCTCTGTGCTAGTAGGAGAACCATCTGTCACCTCCAGGCCGCGGAAATTCTGTCAAACAAAAGAAAAGAGAAGAATACATGTGAGCTCTTTGCATTCCTGGTGCGCTGGAGTGAGGCTTGGAGGGCCGATCTGAAAAGAGTTTAAACCTTTGGCTGAGTCAACAGGACAGGTGACACTTGAAACAAGTTGTTTTATGTCCTAAAATCATCTCAGGCTAAAACAGCTGAATCATACAAAAGGGCTGTTGGAGGTCAATTGTACATAATTTATGTGTTTCTATTGACATATGTTTAATTTTACACATCACTGTCGATATTCATGTAAATCAGTGTCTTTTCAAGATGCTTTAAAAAGCACAATGAACAGTGATACTTTATCACACTGACTCCTTTTGAACATGCCTTACTTTTTCAAAGAGTTAGCAATTCTCCTAGATTTTGTGAACTGGGTTTAAGTCCAAAATGTTCAATATGTCTACAATAAGAACTGATCAACTGAGCAGCATCTTTGTTAAATTTGTATTGCCTCATGTCTAAAACTACTTTACTGTACGAGGTTGAGGGTCAATCTTTGCATCTTCTGTGCATTTCTAATTTTGTAAGTAGTTGCTCTCACCTTGCAGAACTCTTCATCCAGCTCCAGGAACGGAGTCAGAAAGTCGGAGGGCATGATGACCTCTGCAGTCCTCACTGGATGATGGAGCTGGATGTCTGATCCAACAGAGTATGAAGACCCTGAATCCAAGTGCAGGAGAGGGTCTGGTCTTTGAGGAGTTGAGTAGAGTAGTTCTTTCAGATACTAACAGAGTCCTTAAGTAGCAAGGACCCTGGTGGGTAAATGGGTGAAGGGTGATCAGACCTGGAGCAGAAGAGACAGGGAGTTGTGTAGCAGTAAGTCCCTGGGAGGAAAGTTCCCTGACCATCTGTTGGAATCTGCTTAAATAGTTGGGGAAACCCACCCATACACACCCGCCCCCCGCCTGTGTTCTTCAGGGGGCAGGGCAGGAGTGTGTGAGTGCGTTAATGTGTGTGTGCTAGGGGCTTGGGGGAAGGGGTCCTGCATTGTAATGGTGTGCTAGGGGGCAGGGTGGGCACAGAAAGGAGAGGAGAGATCTGAATGGAGCTACTTTTCCACCCATTGATTACCAAATCCTTAAAGATGCATTCTTCTTCTTTGAACAGGGCGTCCACTCTGTGGACAATTGATACAGCTGAGCAGATAATGACAAGTGTTGCAAATACCAACACATTCACCCTCATTAGTGCAGAAAGCTCTGAAACACACTTTAAGGTGTGTGTTTGAAGTTGACTTTCCTACAAACCAGCATGTTTGGTTTCATTTAGCCGTAGTTTGTTGGAAATCTTTGGACGTGCCTTCACAATAAGGTTAAGGGGAATGTTTTCTGCATGGGCCACAAAAGTCATAACCTGACTTTCACTTTAAAATAGTAATGCAACATAAACATTACTCGTCCCATTTGCTTTATACAGTAAGAAGTGAGTTACCTTTGTACTCCGTTTTCTTCTTGTGTTTGGCTTTGTATGGGAACAAGAGTAGGATTACTGACTTTAACTGAATTGTTGAAAGCTAATATGCACTGAATAAAGCATAGGTTCATACAATTTGGCAGACCCCAAGCATTAGATAAGATAAAACTTTATTCATGGTGCAGAAATCTGCAGAGTTTAACCATGTGGAGAGTAAGTAAGAAACGTTTATTTACTGAGAAGTTCGTTTTGGACCCGGAAGTCCATTACTTTGAGTTACTCCAACATCTCCTCATATATAAAAAAGTAATTCTTGAAAATGTCCTGTTTCATCATTTGTGCATTTTAAGATCTTGTTCACGCTAGTTTACCTTATGTGACCAAACTCTGTAATGCCCTCAGGTGGAAAACAGAGTGTGAATGTGTCAGACTGATGATCTGTCCAGGTGAACCCCACCCAGGCTGATGGGTTTTTGGTCTTTGGATTCCTCAAAGGCAAAATGATGTCACTATTAAAGACAAAGGATATGCATGTTGGTGAAAACATGATGAGACAAAGAGCTGATCTTTTGTAAATCACGTGTTTTTACCATCACTGACATCAGTTCACTTTATATCTGAACATAAATCCGCAGGTATGAATAGGTGATGATTTGACTGCTCCTCTGTGATATCTCATGGTCACCTTGTGCCGTTGTTTCAGAGCCTGTTGATTGGTTGATGTGCAGATTTCTGGTGGGATTGAGGCCTCACAGTTTGCACAGTAGAAAAGTTTCATCTTTATGCAGTTTTCCAGAAATGTCTTTCCTAAGAAATACAATGGTTGTTTTTCTTTTACATTTTCTGTAGTTGTGCCCAACTGAGAGTGGCATGTCATAAAGTCACCCAGAGAAATCAAGGTGCCAACAGATCAATTCCCCTGAAAACATTTTTTTGTTTGTTTTGCAAAGCCATAATTTTGTGCACTTTATTCTGTCTCAATCTGTTTAAGGTCATGTATGTACCAGAAAGAAAAAAGGAAAACAGCAGTCAATGGAAAGAGAAGGAAACTTGGAAGGGGGCGAGGAAGTACACCTAATGAAAAGCTAAGTGTCTGAATCCAGCTTTAACCTGTTTGTATGTCTTCAGCCTCTGCACAGAAGGTGCATGGTTTGACCACAGTGCTCCTTAAAAAAACTTTTACATTCAGAAGTGTGCAGCAGTGTGTTAGCATGACTCAATGAAGCCAGACTCAAGCCCAAGAGAGTCCACGAATCTCTGCCACCACTTGTTGTTTGAATGTTGTGTATTACAGGTGGTCACACTCTGACAGAGGGAGCGTCTCAAACAGCACTGCTGCTCAGTTGTGTGGGTTGTGCATTGTGTCTCTGTATGGACACTGCAGGGACATTGCAGACACTGTTGAGTTGTGGTTTCACTGTGTTTACTGTCTGCAAGATTTAAAGGTTACTGAACTGTGAGACTGCACAATGACATTGGACAATCAAAGATAAGTATGTGTAATGGCTGTACAAATTCAGCAGATGTAGAGTGGATACCTATTTTCTTTTCTGAACTAGAACTGGAGCAGTCAAAAGTTCTGCTGTTTAGATACTTCTGTCTGTTGAGAGTGACGGTTCAATGAAAGAGGCTGCTGCAGAGGGCAACTGTGAAACACACAACAGACTTTGCTTATCATAACGCCTCTCTGATACGTTACTGTGGTGTGTGTGTGTGTGTGTGTGTGTGTGTGTGTGTTGTGCGCGTGTGTGTGCCTTGAGTTAAATAACTGTAATCCAGTGTGGTTTCCTCCCTGTGGTCGGTTGGTTTGGTAACACATTGACAGTTGTTATGTCTTTCTGTCTTGACTTGTTTTCTGAACCTCTCTTTACTTTTCATTGACATCTTTCGAGGTTTTCATGTACAAGATTGATTTCATGCAGAGTACTAATAGCAGTTTTGAGGGGTTTGCCCATTATCTTTCTCTTTTCTCTGTAGTTTCATTATTTTTTTATCCATACAATAAAGTAATCCACCTCCTGTTGTCTGGTGTTGTTTCTGACTTCTTTGTATTTGAGATGACTGCAAAACATCATTAATGTGATCATACACTTAAACCTAGAAGTGCACAAAGACATCCATCACTAACACTTTACAAAATTTCAACAGATATTTCAAGTACGACATTTCAGGGAAAAAAAGTGTGCATATAGCTCTCACTATAGCCAAGATTATATTATACTGTGTCAGTTGGCAGTGGTTTTGGTGGAGACATGGGAGGAGTGTGTTTATAAAAGGCAATGTAAAGTAGTCCAAGAGATGTGTGTGAGCTTTTATCGATTTTTATTGAAATGTATACACTTTTAAACTGTCTGCTTTACATAAGACACACAGGTATAAACAGTTTCCTCTTCTCTCCTCTCTCTCTATCTCTCTCACACACACACACACACACACACACACACACACACACACACACACACACACACACACACACACACACACACACACACACACACAACAGAGGGCCCAGCATGCTTGTTGGCCCCCTGTCTGAGCCTGTCTTGGCCTCTTTGTTGAGGCCAGCATGACAAGAGCTCCATTGTCCGGAGGCTCCTCCATATGTCCCCGTATACAGCCCAGTGGAGCATTCTGGACAAAAACCAGCGCACAGTCTGATCTAACTGGTCTCTTCATCAGAGAGCTGCTTCACACAGTCACATGGCTTCACCATTTTCAAGCTCTCTGTCCATTTATTAACAACTGTTCAGCTGTTAAAATTGGTCATTAGATAACTGGATGTGTCTCCTTTCTTAATCAGGAGACGTCAAAACTTCTGTCCTGTAATGCTGTTCAACATGGAGCAGGTTTCAAGCTGCTTCCCAAATAAAAACAATTCATTCTTTAAAATTCATCTTGCTCTCCTCCCTGCAGTCCTTTGTCATGTATGTTGGTGTTTTGAGGTCATTTCCATCTGAGGGTGGACCTGAATGGTTGTTGAGGGCCTCGTTTGCAAAGCCACAGTCTATTGTTGTAACCTGCTGTGATGTTTGTCGTGGTGGTACTTTGCACCTACTTTCCTTCCTGCATTGATGAGAACGACGGCCGTCAAATGTCCTCCACAACATCTGTTGGTAATCCAATTCAGGTTCTGTGATATTGTATTCAAGAGTTGGATAAACCAAACATTTGGGAAAGCATTTTTGTCCTTCTGAAATGAATGATGGCCACTCTGATCTCATACGAACTTGCTAAATTTGAATGCGTATGTGCCATAGACTGTATATACTATGGTACAACCTGGTTCCGCCTACCGCCTGTATACGGATTTGAAGCCAAAAAGCTCTCGGTAATTCCGGGTTTTTCTCCACTTCCTTGAACCCAGAGCTGCGCAGTAGCGATGCGCGCATTCGGCCGCGCAGTCGCCGAGTGTCCCTGTGATGACGCTCAGCTCAAACAGCGTTTCCCTCCAGTTGAGCTACACAATCCCTGAACGCCCATAGGCTGTACCAGGTGTCAATCATAGAAAACATGAACCTCCTTATAACTTTTAAAAACGGAGCTTCACAGAAAAAGGACTTGGGCACAAACCAGTCTTACTGTAACTACATGTCAACATCACAAGCAGGGGGGAGAAAAATTTATGTTCTGTGTAATAAATTTCTAAAGTTTGTCCACAGTCCCATAAGCTTTGCTGGCGGAGGCGGGATTTATGACCTGTACTGCAGCCCACCATCAGAGGGTGCTGTTCTCGGAGTGGCTTCACCCAGCGAGGAGGCAGACTCTGTCCATTCTATATACAGTCTATGGTATATGCGTCTTAACTCTTATTGTTTGTCTATTGCACCACTGAGGGTGTGTCTGTGTCTGAATAGAAGAATGCTCGGCCCAGGGATGGTTTCATTCCCCGTTTTGCACCACCTGTGGGCACACGCCCTGTTTGAAGAGAGATGAGCATCGACTAGAAGTGACACTGATCACGGTGCTGATGAAGAGCAATGCACGCACATTCTGCAGGTTTGAGGGGTCACCAGTAGAGGGATTTTCCGGCGTAAAATTAAGTTTGGGTCAAACACACCTTAACACCAAGTTAGACACCCCGAGAGATGAATATTGCCGACCGCTTGCTTTACTTTAGTAAAGAACGCAGATAGCAATACAGAGAGCCACGCGCTCAACCAAAACGCCACTCTATAACCACATATAATGCTCAGAACAGCACCTAACTTCATCAACACCTTTTTAGCTTTGCCTGATTTCTTGTTTCACACAACTCACCCTTTCTCTTGCAGCAGCCGCTTGTTTGTATGAAGACCTCCGGGTGAGTCCATCGACTGCAGCGGGGTTACGCAGCTCAAGGAAGAACATTTATGATCATTACTTCATGG